ATGTTTCTTAACAGATCCCCACCTTCTAACTAATATTAACTGTAATGAACTGAAGCTAAAAACTAACATAACTGAATCTAACAGAATCATTTAACACCCTTATCAACCCTAGCTAACTTTTACATGAAAAATCTAACTCTGTTAATTCTGCTACACTCTCACACTCCTATAATCAGTGCCTTCATCATTCAATGGATGAATAATCACAATTCCAAAAGTTACACAAATTACTCTCTGAATTCTCCCAATTCTATGAGATTTCTCTGAATCTCTCTGCATCACCCTCAATCAATATCAATCTATGCATATCTCTCCCTCTCCCTCTCACTCTCCATCACTCACCACACAGATTCAACAGCACACAGAGCATCAATCACAAAGCAACACAACGACATCCTACAGGCTAAAGAAGAATTAAAGAAGAAGGAGAAAGAATTTAAGCGTGAAGTATTTGTGATATTGAAGATTACCTGAAGCTTTCTTTGCTTTTATTTTCACCTTCTTCAACTTCTAAGGTTTGTTTGGTTAAGGGTAAATGGAGGTGAGAGTAGGAGGGAGAATATTTAATAATTTATGTGTCTCGTTCAAATTTCAAGAGGGGGAGGAGAGGTAGATGGAGGGGATCAAAATCCCTCCTGAACCACTTTTTGCTTCTCCCAATTTGAAAGGATTTGGAGGGGAGGTGTTTGATTTTAATTATGATTATATTTACATATGTACCCTTATTATTTATTTAAATATAAATTTAACTTATAATAATGTTAAAAATTTTATTTTGAATAAATTTAATTTAATTTTTTTAAATATTTTTTGTATTTTTATATTTCATCTTTCTGTTTAAATTTTTTTATTTTACTTTTTTTATTTTTATTTATAATAATAAGGGGACCAAAACTGTAATTTAACCAATTATATATTATAATTGTTACGTTTTTATAAAATATTTCATGATGATCTCTGATTGAACATTTATATTTCGTCAATAAATTTGTATTTGAATTATAAATGGTAAATATCACAAATTTTATGGTAAAAGTAGAAGGATAGAAAAGTAAATTAATTTTAAAATACTTTTCATCCCTTTGTGAACTAAACATATTTGTAAATAAAATGCTTTCCCTCCCCTCCCCTCCCCTCCCTTTTCATATTTTGAACCAAACATATATATATATAATTAAAATCCCTCCCCTCCTTTCCTCTCCCTTCCCCTCCTCTCGATTGAACCAAACAAACCCATAGAGAACCGGGACTCTTCTCTTCCTCGTAGGTTGGTGATCTTGGTTTCCCCCTCTCCTTGCTCAATTTCGCTCTCCATAATGTAGCATCAAGCATAAGGAATCAAAGCCCTAAGGTGTTAGGCTTTGATTCCTCCTCCGTGCGTTTTTATTTTGGCTTTTAGGTGTTAGGGCTCTTATTTTATACTGCTCGGTTTAGTGAGATGGTTAGAGATTGAGGCGAATCAATACGAGATCTTGAAAGATTGGACATAGACGATTCTATTGATGTAAGGTTGAGGTCCATCGAAGCTTTATTGCCGCTGGAGGAGTTTTTCGGCGTGGCAGAGGAGTGACTAGAATTTGCCTTTGGAAAAGAGAAAAATTGGGAATAAAATGTGAATGCTTTCTCTTTGGTTTTGCCCCTGCGTTTTGGGCTTATGGCCCCTGGCCCAAGCAGAATTTGCTATTTCACACTCCGTTTCAATTTGAGCCCCTCTGCTTACTTGGCCTTGAGCTCTGGGCTTTAGGCCCATCAACTACTCCATTCACCCTCCAGTAGGCACATACCCCCTGAGCGCATTGATTTTACATGCTTTGCACCCTGTTTTGCAACAATACACCCCTTTGTCCCTTTCTTCTTTTTTTTTTTCTCCCTTTTTTTTAATTTCATTTTAGATTACTTTTAATGCATTTTAACATGGAAATATTTTGAAAAATACTTAGGAGATAATACCTAGATTGTATTTGTTTCTTAGTTAATTCATACATTAGGAATAAAAAATAATTATGCATATTAGTTAAAAATTAACTTTCGATTTTCATGTTTAAATTTCAATTGAAAAACTTTAGAAAATAAACATTTGTTCATAGTACTTTTTAGATTAGTATTAATGTTAGAAATTAGTTTGCTTGATAATACTTTGATTTTCTTAGGTTTTAAGCTAAAAATCTAAATGCTACTTAATTGGTTCTATCAAGTACTAGATCACAGGTTAATAATTTCTCTAAGTACTTTATTTTCATTTCTCATATTGAACCTAAAACAACATCTGATGCTTTACTTGACAAGGGATGATTACTTGTTATGCAAGAAGAACTTATCTAGTTCAAATGTAACAATGTTTGGGACATTGTTTCGTGTTTAGTTGATAAAACCATCATTGGAACTAGATGGTATTTAAGAATAAAATGGATGAAAATGACGTAATTACTTAAAATAAAACAAGACTAGTGGAAAAAGGGTATAGTCCAGCTGAAGGAATAAACTACAAGAAAACTTATTCTCTGGTAGTTTGTCTAGAAGCTATTAGACTACTTTTGAAATTCACTTGCTGCCTAGATTTTGAGATTTATCAAATGGATTTTAAGTCTACTTTTCTTAACAACTACATAAATGAAGAAGTTTACTTCTCATAACCTCCTAGTTTTAAGGATCACAAAAATCCTAACTGTAACACCCTAAACCCACGGTAAAATTTTCTTCTTCTTTATAACACAATGCATAATATAATAATACAAGACAAGGGTGTCACAACATAATGCTTAACTTTTTACTCAAAATAGAAATTGAAATTCAAAACATAATCATAAGGCACGATTATTTGGTTTAAGACAAAGTAGAGAACATAACAAAACAATTCCAACCCCGATGTTACAATATTAGAGCTATTATTATAAAATAAACTACTAGTTGACTTAAGGTCCAGCAGAACATAAAATCAAAGCAAGCATCTGAAGTGGCCATCTACACCATCTTCCATAAACAAACATAAAAAATCGCTCCTCAGTAGTAACATGAGAATAATCTGCACATGATTTCGGATAGAGGAACACAAAAAATAAAATAGGTGAGAATACATTCTATAAAATCACATGATATAATAAAAACAAGGATATCATTTAACATACATGTACATTATTCAAAACTAATCACACTCACATAATATCATGAAACATATACAAGAAAATTATGCAATGCTCATCTCCTCTACTCCTATGCGTGTGGTACCATCGCCGACTTCATAGTTATTTTACTGAAATTCTAAAACATCGACCCGAAATTCTAAAACACATGACCGAAGTCCTAACACCAGACTGAATTCCTAATACCGGACCTAAGTCATAACCTAATTCCGAAAAATATGATGCATGATGCTTCAAACAAATGCAATACTGTCGGTTAAGGCTAACATTGATTCTTGCGAACCTAATAACACCATCAATTAGGCTAGAACAACGACTCTTTCGAACCTAAACATAATCAACATTGGTTCTTATCAAATATAAACATAATCGACAGTGAGTCTTATCGAACCTAAACATAATCGACACCAGTTCTTATCAAACTTGAACATAATCAAGGCTGATTCTTATCGAACCTAAGAGCATTCACACGATCATTCATAGTTCATAAATTGTATCTCATCAACATTGGACTTGCATCCTAAAACATTAATCACTTAATTCACATAAACATCTTATCAAAATATTGTACTCACGTCCTAAAACATTTACAACTTAGTTCATACAAGTATTTATTGAAGCACTGGACTTATGTCCTAAAACATTACATTACTTACACAATTAATATTTTTCCACATCATTCATACATAGAAACACCATAAAAACAATGACCACATTCACAATATCCCTCACCCCTATAAACATCATGAGGCATTATCATATTCACGACATCATTATGTGATTTCAAAATTTTCTTATAAAATTTCACATGAATACCACATCAAAATTATTGAACTTCACAAACAAGGAATAATATGGAAAGAATCAGATATGCAACATAAAACAAAGTGCAACAACAATTTCACATAGCATACATTTGGTCATTCAATTTGTGTAGCAATATTCCTATAAAAACACCTATGAATCATGTTTTCTACTAATCGGACCTCAACTTTGAATAATTATTTAAAATATCAACCTAAGTCAAAATCAAGCAAATGAACATGTTTTAGAAATCTTAGAATGTCTATTTTAGGACTATGATTTTTATTTTTGGACATAATGTCTCAATTGGTACATTTTAATCAAACAATATAGATTGGTACAGACACCGGACATAATATTTTGTCAAATTTAAAACTAGTATTTCTCCTACTGAATTTAATGAAATGAGATGCTTATTAAGTGTAATACTATGTAGTAAATTTGGTCTATTTTCTTATTTTATAATTTTACTCTTAAAGAACTTGTGTCGATTGACTTATATCCAAATTACTAACAATATGTCAAATAATTATGCTGCAGAGTTTCCAAAACATTAGCTCAACTTGCCGTTCAGTTTTCTAAGTTTTGATACAACATGATTGATCCAAATCAAAATCTATCTTTGTGATAAATTTAGTCTATGATTTATTTGAGTTATATTTCTAAATACAAATTGCCCTTACTTGTTAACTGAATTACATAAAAATCAGAATTCAGAACAATGTATCGTAAATAAGGGATATCAAGATATCATTTATGTTAATATTTATAACATCATAATTTGTGAGTTTTAAATTTGAAACTTTATTTTTCGAGTCATTTACTACCGGTAGCTAGTAGAAATAAATAAAGTACCAAAAATAGTTAAAAATAAAAAAAAGATGAAATAATTTGGTACAACCGCAGGGTGTGAGCCCCACCCACTCACTCACTCCGTAACCGACCCCAACCATCCCATTCTTCAATCTAACAAGTCTCTTCTCTCTTGCATTCCAAACTTCCCTTTCTTTCCTTCCATTTTTTTTTTCAAATTCCAAATCTTCAACAACAATACTCATGACTACAGAACTTCTTCAAATCGATCCCTCCGAGCTCAGATTCGTCTGTAAGTCCTTCTTTTCTTACTTCTTACTCATATATCATCATCGATTACAGTTTTATTCACAATGCTGTTACTCTTTTTTTTCCCTTTTCATCTAGTTGAATTGAAGAAACAAAGTTCATGCTTGATTCAACTCGGAAACAATAATGATCACTATATTGCTTTTAAGGTACTAAGTCTTTTCAAAAATCTCCTCATTCTTGAAAAATATGTTTCTGATTTTCTTGTAATTCACTGGTAGGTTAAAACAACGTCGCCCAAGAAATATTGCGTTCGACCTAATATAGGCCTCATCAAGCCAAATGAAAAATGTGATTTTACTGGTATTTTTCATGTATCTTCTTGTTAAATAATAAATTCTTTTGTTATTTTTGTTTTCAGCGTGATTCAAGTAACATAGATTATTATTGGTTTATGTTTATTTGTTGGATTTAGTTACTATGCAAGCTCAACGTACTGCACCGCCTGATATGAATTGCAAAGATAAGTTTCTTATTCTAAGTACAGTTGTTCCCTTTGGAACTACAGAAGATGAAATTTCATCTGCGGTGAGAATCATGTTTTTTTTTTTTTTTTTCAGTTTTAAGGATTGAAGATATTGTTCGATAGTTTAACTCTTTTCGTTCGGTTTTTTATTTGTTGAATGATTTTGGATTTCTTTGGGTTATAGTTTGTAAACTACAGTGGAAAGTATATTGAGGAGAAGAAACTGAAGGTAGTCCTCATTAGTCCACCGTCTTCGCCGGTTTTGCTTCCGGTAAATGGTGATATGAAACAGGATCCGTCTTACCAAATTAATGTGCTAAAAGATAGGGTGATAAGTGGAATTGAAAACATACCTCCCCCTCTAAAAGTGAGCTCCTCTCCTTCCAAGTTTCAAACATGAATCACTCTCACAAGTTACTTGGATTATGATATAATGTTTTCAACATTGGATGGTTGATGATTAGTTCATGACTCTTTCGTTTTTTGTTTCTTTTTATCAGGCTACCGCGGAAGTTAAAGGTTTGGAACCAGTCTTGGACACGAGAGAGGATAGAACAGATGAGGATAATGTCCCAAAACATGCTGAAAACGAGGGTGACATGAAGCCAGCAATAGATGATGATGTGCAGTTGAATTTAGCAAAGGGTTGTGAGGAATTGAAATCAAAGCTTTGTTTGATGGATTCAAAGTTAAGAGAGGTTAGAGCTCCTGAATTTAGATTAAGCATTATGAATGTAAGTTTTCTAGTCCATGTGCCTGTCATACTTAAAACGTGATTTTCTCAAATTGTTGGTTGGTAGTATGAACTTTATTAGGCTACTATCTAGAACGGAAATTGATGGAAAACATGAATTAACCCGCATAATTTTAAGCTATCTAATATCTATTAACTCTGCATTTTACTAATATGTGAGAATAAGCAGGGCTAGGATCATATCATAATGCCATATTGTTTAGTTCCTTTTGAGCCAAAAAAATAGACTTTATCATCAACTAATGCATGTTTCATATCACGGTGGAATTGTAAAAATCACGGCGAGCCACCATGTTTTCGACAAACCCACCGTGAAATCGAACATGCACAAATGTTCTACGGTATATTTTGAAGTTAACACATTTTTGTCTATGTAATGATTATTCCCTAGGGCCTTAAGTTGCCTTAAAAGGTTGTAATATGCTTATTCTATGCCAATGTCGGTTTATAAAGATGTTATCTCAACTTATGTATGGTCCAAGGCTTGGAGTCAGTTCTTTAAGTTGCATTTTTTTGATATTTTATTGTAAAGTTCAAAGATGGAAGCAACTAACGTATTTAGTTTTGATCTTTGTAGGCTGAGGTAACCATGATGAAGTTGAATGAGGAGAAACACGCATACAATAAAGAAAAAGATATGCTAAAGAAAGAATTGGTACGTCTGTTTGTTATTTTTAATGTTATGTTGATGTTATCACTGCATGAATTTTGGCTTCCACAATTGCATCGCAACCACAATTGATTTGTCTGCTTTTTTTTTCTTCTCAATATTAAGGTTAACAACATAACTGCAACTGTAGTTTAAACCTTTGAGGGAAGGGGAAAGCATAGAAAGCCTATTTGATTATTGGTCATTAGTTGTCATCTTACCTCCACACATCCTTTTACTTGCCCAAGTCTGAAGAATGATAAACTGAAAGATGAGTAGATCTTGTTAAAGCTTACTGTAAAAATTGTCCAAGTTATCAAGTATATTCAGAATAGAAGTTCAACCTATTCTTTTATTCAAATAACCATTAAAAGTTTTCTAATCGACTGCGCTTGATTTCTGTCTGGCATTTCATACCCAAAATGGGGGTTTATGCTGATTGTTGAATGTTTCCATGTATATATCTTATTCTTTAAAGCAGTGAAGTTATGTTTTGAGCTGCAATACATTTTTTATTGACGAAGATGATTGATCAATGATATTTTTTAATACTTGATATCATATTTCATTTGTTTTGTTAGGAGGCATTGAAGAGGAAAAGTAACGCGAAAGTTCAGAAAGGCTTTCCATTACTGTTTGTCTGCATGGTTGCTATTGTCGGTGTGGCAGTTGGATACTATATTCAGTCATAAGGCATATAATTGCTTGCGTATGATAGAAGACGTTCTGAAAACTATGGTTTCTCTGTAATTGTTTATTATGATAGTTTTACTTGTGTTAATATGTGACATGAGAATGTGTGTAAAGTGAACTAAACTTATCAATAGAAGCATATAATAAGCAGCCTTATGATATTTTCAGTGGATGATTAATAAATAAATAGTATTCTCTACACATATTATCATTCAGTGGATGATTAATAAGTAAATAGTATTCTCTACACATATTATCACACGGATCCACAATCTTTCTGCTCCAAATATCAGTAACTTAGAAATTCTTATTGCACAATCAAGCAAATGTAAAATCTATATCTTCTGTCGGGACTGTCGGGGCGCTCGGTGTTTTCACCCACATGTACAAGCCAAAAATTTGAGTTCACAAGCAAACAACTCCTCTCTATATCTGTAAGTATCCTCCTACAAATCCTTTCTTTCTTTGTATCTTCATTTTTTTCTCTTTTCCTAATTAGCATCATATAGAAAGTTGAAATCTTCTAAGAATTGACAAAACTACACAATCAAAGCCAAATTCAAGCCATACCCACACCACACCATTTATCACACATGATCAGTATGTTAATGCCATTGATGGAACGCTTTGTTAAAGGGGAGAACCAAGAACATATGGTACAAAACCCCGGCCACCAAAGACAGGTCGCATGAAACAGTTGTCAAATTTGCGCCAGTAATGATGCACCCCATAGCTTGGAATCCGAAGGAGCGAATGCAATCTGTTTGGTCTTTGAGTCCCATCACTGCCCCCTACATCATCCTCTTCATTGCCAAGAAGTCTGTTTGGTCTTTGAGTCCCATCACTGCCCCCTACATCATCCTCTTCATTGCCAAGAAGTCTGTTTGGTCTTTGAGTCCCATCACTGCCCCCTACATCATCCTCTTCATTGCCAAGAAGTGGCACACTGAATGATTTCGGGCTTGACGGTGTGGACGGTATGCTGATTATTATGTGTTTAGATGAAGGAAGCAATCTGTTTGGTCTTTGAGTCCCATCACTGCCCCCTACATCATCCTCTTCATTGCCAAGAAGTGGCACACTGAATGATTTCGGGCTTGACGGTGTGGACGGTATGCTGATTGTTATGTGTTTAGATGAAGGAAGCAATAACTTCACAAGTGGCTTTGTCAATAACCCAAACACCTGCACATTTCAGATGTTCAAAATAATATTTGAAAATGACACTTCTCCTAATCTACCAATGTGCCCATTTTCTTGAGCAGAGTAAAAAAGTCTAACCACTGTGCTGAAGAGTACAACACTAATAGTACTAGTGATCATGATCGCATTTTCGTGCAATTTAGTATGGCCGTGCCTAGTAAACTGCATATAAAAAAAATGTTCATTAGTACGAGTCAATTACAGAATTCCAGGATGTTGAATTGGAAGCTATGAAGTTTGATATTTCACTTGATTGTAAGCAAGTGCAATAGAAACAGCGCCACGCATCAGACCAGCCCACCAAATCGTCACCTGTGAAACAAATTGTCCGCGAGCGGAATGTAACACATCAATTGACTCGGCTATGAAAAAGATCTTGAAATATGAAAAAGATCTTGAAATGGAAATGAGAAAATTAATACATACTTGTTGCTTAAACTCAATTTTCTCAGATTGAGACTTCTTAGACAAGTTGGATATGAAGGAAAGAGGGAAAACAAATGCTGCTCTTCCCACTAGAATAAGCGCCAACAACAACGAACTGACTCCAATTGATTTCCCCGGACTAACGAAGAGATCAGAATGTTAATTTCACATTTGACAGTAATATCAATATAGTTGAATAACTCTATCATTCTAAAAAATATTTTACCTTTCACTAACAAATCGCCATTTCTCGATATCTAGTGCATCCATCCCAACATAAAGGAAGATAAAGATCTCGGCAATGAATGACATAGTAGCAAAAGTATGCCTACAACAGTGTAATCAGTAGTAATCCTTATACAGATATAAATATGCTACGAAATTTTGCTTACTTTGTTGTTATTCTTGAACTTTCTGTCACATTATGCCAGGTATAATGCGACATAAGAATACCGCAGAAGAACACAGTGAGAATGGCACTTAAAGAAAATAACTGCCAAATAGATAATAAAAATGATCAATACTAGAATCAGTTAGGCTCGAATTCAAGGAAAAAAGATCTTACTTCAGCTAGCATATACGAAAGGTAAGCCATTAGTATCATCAGAGTTAGGCTCAAATTTAAGGAAAAAAGATCTTACTTCAGCTAGCATATACGAAAGGTAAGCCATTAGTATCATCAGAGCAACCTCGCGATCCGTAGAGTGTCTGAGATGTGTCATAAACATGCATTAGAAAATCAATAAAGACAATTTCTGAAAAATGTTTGAATATGTTTAGTCAACCTTATCAACTTTCCAAAATAGAGTTTTTTAATGATAAATGCACTAAGCAATCCAACCTGAAAAACATTAGACGAGAAAGTTACTTGAGTCCCAAGCAAATATCATAAAAAGACAGAATTAGAGATTCAATAGAAACACTTACAAAGATTCCCAACACAGTGCTTGCTATGAATAAATACCAAAAGTTTCCTATTAAGTGTAAAGCAGTGGTGAAATCAATGTGGGAGAGATCGAAACTCTGAATTGCTTTGAAGAGTACCACGGAAGTTGCATCATTTACTACTCCTTCTCCAAACACCAAACTGTATAGCAACGGCGTCTCGTCCTGGTTAAGAACCTGATGCAAACATATCGGCAAAATTCAAGAAACGTCGCAATGTCGCGTAAAAGGAGATGCAAAATGTGTTGAAATTTACTATACCTGCAATGTGCAAACAGAATCTGTTGCTGAAAATATTGCTCCAATTGCTGCATTCAGCAGAATCATGCAAGTGTAAGTGTTCATATGTGTGCATAAGTTCAGCATAAAACTATATAACCTAAGTATATAACCACACATATAGATATATACCTAGATAATCTCCAATCTTGAGGGAACCAATATTTAACTTTTGGAAGAAGTGCATGGCACCTAATGATATGATGCAGAATGATATGAGTGTACCGACTGCTCCGAAAAGCATTATAGTCATAAAATTGCGGAAAAATTGTTTCTTCTTGACCTGAAACCTAAGACAGATAAAAATAACAGTGAAGGTAAATAAAGCATGCAATCTGTTAAAAGAAATACAGTTATAGGTAAAAGGAGTAGAAAACAAGACGGACCCGGCATTGAAAATGATGGGTGGGAGAAGGTAAATAAAGAAAAGATCTTCACTGAAAACCATTATATGCGAGCTTCTTCCTCCGGTCGTAAACAATATTAACACACCGGAACACAAACCCTGCGATCACACGCCATCAATAACATTTCATACAAGGAAACGAAAGGAATAAATAACATAACAAAACATTAACAACAATATAATACTTAGTACTTACAATGAGAAGAGCAGTGATGGATTCATTAATCCAACGATTCTCCTCTAACATATGACCGATGACGATGCAAGTACAAAGAAGAGCAACAAATATGTTTAACGACACCACGGAAGCGTGGTCAGAGGTCATCATCGTTGCGAGTTTCTCGTATAAAGCTCCTTCTCCAGCCATGTTCACTTCAATGAGGAAGGAAGAAAAAGAAGAAGGAAGAGTGTAACATATGTATAGAGATGAGTGGAATATAACGAAGGATTTAAATGAATTTAGCCATGTTCACTTCAACGAGGAAGGAAGAAAAAGAAGAAGGAAGAGTGTAACATATGTATAGAGATGAGTGGAATATAACGAAGGATTTAAATGAATTTGTATTGTTTAATCTAACAGAATTAAAACGGTGTACCTTATAAAATTGAAGAGACGTTGTCGAAACTTGTGAGTATGAGAGAATTATTATCCTTATTGTCGTTTAGGATTTTCAGAGTAGTTTAATTGTCTAATGGAGAGACACTTAAATAGCTAAACGGTGAGGACAGGAACCTCTATTTGGGCTTAACTGTTCAGGCCCAAAACCCAATCAAACAATTCATCTATTTAATATTTAATAACCATAGACTATAATATAATTAATTTCTATTTAATATTTAATAACCATAGACTATAATATAATTAATTAATAATTAATTATGTCAATTCATATTTGATTAATTAAATAATTAATCTAACATGTAAGTCATAAATCAGTTTGAACTATTGTTGATTTAAGAGAAACTGATGAATATTGAAATGAAGTGTGGTTGATGTGATGAGTTGGAATACTTTTAAGCATGCCTTTGCCTTTGTTGTATGCAACACTCATCATTCTGCTGTTTTCAAATCTCACACACACTCGCCTTCACTTTTTCTATTTTAGTTTCACCGTTTTCATTATTCAAATCTCTCTCCCTCTTTTTCTCTCTCTTTTTATGATATTATCCTCCAACACAACAAACTATATAGTATTTATTATTGACCCAAAAGGATTCAATTGCCCCTCACTTTGAACGCAAGGTGAGACATACACTCATGTCATGCATTTTGAATCTTTGATGATGAGTGTATGTTGTCGTGTGGAAGACTCTCATTGATTTTTTCATGGAGTATGATGTATTGTGTACCATTAACAATGCCATTTGAAATTTTAAATTCCATAATATGATTCAAGTAACGAGTTGACTATAACTTTATAAGTGCTCACAACAAAAGCAGTTTCTTCAAATTTGGAGCTAATGGCTTCCAAAAAATATTCTTTGTTGCGCTTTTTTTGGTCATAAAATAAAGCTTAAAATTGAAAAGTACATTAGGAACAAAACATTTGATGTGTGAGATAAAGAACCGTCACAATCAAACAAATGGTTTAATACAATAAAATATTTGTGGTATTTTAAATTGAATTTTAATTCTGATAGAGGTAGTTTTATAGTTCAACTGGAATGTGCATGTTATAGTCGAAGTCTGATCTAGCATGTTGTAGTCGAATATGTGTATGTTGTAATCGAAGGCTATGTAACACACAAAGACTTAAGTTAGTTATGTGCTAATCACGTGGAAAAAAACACGTTGTCAAGTGATTCCCACCTCACTAAACTATTTAAATAATAAATTATCCAGACCTAAAATCTTCAACCAAAAATTGGAATAGACCTAAAATCTTCAACCAAAAATTAGAATTTTTAAGAGAGAAGTTTGAATTTTTAAAAAATTCAATTGTGGCGTGCAAAACATGTGGGAACCGAAAATTCAAAAAATCCTTTTATTTCCCTACATGTAAAGCACTTCGCAAATCTGCAAATAAAAAATGTCCCATTAATTGAGATACATTAGGTGTTGGAATTGAAAGTGACAAGTTTGTGAAAGGATTCCCACGTCGCAACTCACTACCATAAATGTTCTGACGGATTTGCACGTCACACATGTTTAAGAAGCATTGTTCCCACAGGTTCCCGCCGTCGCATGCTTGAGATGCTTTATTGTTCCGATGTGGGAATGCTTTATTGTTCCGATGTGGGAATCACGTGAGTACCTTCCCGTCGCAAATGCTTAAGATGCTTTATTGTTCCGACGTGGGAATCACGTGGGTACCTTCCCGTCGCAAATGCTTAAGATGCTTTATTGCTTTATTGTTCCGATGTGGGAATCACGTGGGTACCTTCCCGTGGGAATCACGTGGGTACCTTCCCGTCGCAAATGCTTAAGATGCTTTATTGTTCCGATGTGGGAATCACGTGGGTACCTTCCCGTCGCAAATGCTTAAGATGCTTTATTGCTTTATTGTTCTGATGTGGGAATCACGTGGGTACCTTCCCGTCGCAAATGCTTAAGATGCTTTATTGCTTTATTGTTCTGATGTGGGAATCACGTGGGTACCTTCCCGTCGCAAATGCTTAAGATGCTTTATTGTTCCGATGTGGGAATCACGTGGGTACCTTCCCGTCGCAAATGCTTAAGATGCTTTATTGTTCCGATGTGGGAATCACGTGGGTACCTTCCCGTCGCAAATGCTTAAGATGCTTTATTGTTCCGATGTGGGAATCACGTGGGTACCTTCCCGTCGCAAATGCTCCCGTCGCAAATGCTTAAGATGCTTTATTGTTCCGATGTGGGAATCACGTGGGTACCACCTTCCCGTCGCAAATGCTCCCGTCGCAAATGCTTAAGATGCTTTATTGTTCCGATGTGGGAATCACGTGGGTACCACCTTCCCGTCGCAAATGCTTAAGATGCTTTATTGTTCCGATGTGGGAATCACGTGGGTACCACCTTCCCGTCGCAAATGCTTAAGATGCTTTATTGTTCCGATGTGGGAATCACGTGGGTACCTTCCCGTCGCAAATGCTTAAGATGCTTTATTGTTCCGATGTGGGAATCACGTGGGTACCTTCCCGTCGCAAATGCTTAAGATGCTTTATTGTTCCGATGTGGGAATCACGTGGTTACCTTCCCGTCGCAAATGCTTAAGATGCTTTATTGTTCCGATGTGGGAATCACGTGGGTACCTTCCCGTCGCAAATGCTTAAGATGCTTTATTGTTCCGATGTGGGAATCACGTGGGTACCTTCCCGTCGCAAATGCTTAAGATGCTTTATTGTTCCGATGTGGGAATCACGTGGGTACATTCCCGTCGCAAATGCTTAAGATGCTTTATTGTTCCGATGTGGGAATCACGTGGGTACATTCCCGTCGCAAATGCTTAAGATGCTTTATTGTTCCGATGTGGGAATCACGTGGGTACCTTCCCACGTGTTCACCACGTCGCAAAAGCCCCTATATAATATTTCACCAGATTTTCCTTCAACACCATCTCGTTTCATCTTCTTCATTCTTCATGCTTTCTTCATTCTCTTCATTCTTCCATTACTACTGTCTCCCTCACAACTCCATTTTTAACAAAAATTTCACAAAAAAACTTAAGGTGATTGGTATATATGTTGTTTTTGTGAATGTTTTACAGTTAATTTTATGTTTATCTTATTATTAATTGTTAATTGTTGATTTTTTTTCTAAGATTTAAGAAGTTCAATAGGAACAAAACATTTGATGTGTGAGATATGAAGGATTTAAATGAATTTAATAGATAAAAATTATAGCATATTGTTTAACCTAACAATAATCAAGAATAATTAAAATGGTGTACCTTATAAGATTGAATAATTAAAATGGTGTACCTTATAAGATTGAAGAGACAGTTGTCGAAGCTTGTGAGTATGAGAGAATTACTACCCTAATTGCCGTTTAGGATTTTCAGAGTAGTTTAATTGTCTAATGGGGAGACACTTAAATAGCTAAATGGCTGAGGGCAGGGACCTCTCATTGGACTTAACTGAATGATCCAACCCACTACGGTCCATTCAGGCACAAAACCCAATCAAACAATTCATCTATTTAGTGTTTAATAACAATAGATCATAATATAATTAATTAATAATTAATTATGTTAATCCATGTTTGATTAATTAAATAATTAATCTAACAATCTCCCACTTGGATGACAATAATTAATTATTAAAAATATTGATTCTAGTATTAGAATATCAATAATGGTCAAAACACAAATCAATCAAAAGAAGTAAATTTCAACGTTGCAGAAATTGTATCCGATAGGGAAGACAAATCATACATGTTAAAACTCACAACTTTATATAAAAAATGATGACTTTAGAGTAACATATTTAACTTCAGAGTAATATGTTATAAAGAATGACTCAAACATATGAAAATGCTATTGATAAACTCCCACTAACCCAAAGTATCATAAGACTTACTCATGTGTATAAGTCTATGGTTAGTGATTATACTAATGAGTTTTAAATTATAGGTCATAAAATATCCACATAGGTCTAAGAATAGTAATTACATATAGGAATACCCTATTAACAGAGTAATTACATTTAATTATAAGTACTTTCATAACACAATATCATACTCGATAGGAGTATTGATATTTACTTGTACTTTCATATTATGACCTGACAAATGTAGACTATTGAAGATATAATAACACAATATTATTGCACGATAAAAAATTATTGTGTCTTTTCAATATCAACCTAAACATCAAATTATGATGTTTCCTGAGATTAAGAGAATAATATATCTCTCAGTATAACAGAATAAGACTTCTTATAATTATTTTATATTTTGAAGTCCTTTTAGAATATGTCATATTTACAGTGCGCGCAAGAATATATGACACTATGAGAATAATAATCCAAAATTTTAGATTATATGATTGTGTTCACATGCAATCCACTCCCACTAATCCAATATGATAAGGATTTATCAGAGGCCACTAATATTAAATACTCTGATCGAACAACAGGGGTGCTAATGTTATATTTAGTGCAAAATTATACAGAGAAGTGGTTCTATAATATATCATCAAACTCAACCACATATTTTGCACGTCAATAGAATATATCTTTATTTAGATAATTTACATGAAAGAATATGATGGTCATATAAAAGATTTACCATCTTTTGAGTGAGATCAAATTCATAACTCGCTCAAAACTCAAATGCTATAAGTATAACTACACACATTTGAGAAACATATTACGTTATACGCAGCAGAAAAATATGAAACTTTAATCAAATTTAATATTAAGGATATAGCATAAGACTAAAATATCCTCAAT